TGGAACAAACAATTTGAAAATAGGTGGATAAGACGCAACAGTGCTTTCGTTGAATAGCCGCCGTGCTCACCCGACTTGACGCATCTTAATTTCTCTTTTGCTTAAAAAAAATAACGCTAGAAAAACTGCTTTATCCACCAATGCTACGTTATGAATTGTAGAATAACTGCAAAATGTGTTCATAAAAATAGCAAAAAGATATAATAAGAACTGCAATAAACTAAACGGCGGGTTGATAAAAAAACCAGAATCTGTTTAAATATTACTGATAAATGAATAAGAATTAGTTGAAACATTCTTTTCCATAATTTACTCCATAAGACGAAATAAATTTGAATAACAGGGCGATATTCAATTTTGCTGCAGAATTATTAATCTGCCATATTTGTTTGTAACATTGATATTTTCTTTTTTTTTAATTCGTTTATAAGTTCTTGTATTTTATTTTCACCCTAAAAATTCCGAACGGGCTTGGCCTTGCAACAAAAACGTGACAGTATATCCTATAGTGTCCACAGTGCAATGCTTCTTGATATACAATCAAAAAAATCTGTCAAAATCGAATAATATTTAAAGATTTTATTAAAATGTATAAGAATATATTATTTTTTAACATTTCCTTAAAAATTATATTTATTAACAAGATTTATTTACGTTTCTAGCCGAGTCATACCGAATGCTAGTCTCGCCAAATAAACCTGGGTTTTTTTTAATTTACTTTTTGACACACTTTTTAATCGCTATGTTTTCAGATTAATTAACATGCATATAGTATTTTATCCTATACTAAAACTATTCCATATGTTTCCGACAAACATATTCTTGAAACGTAACTGAATGATTTTTGTAAAATAGGCGAAAGATTTGAAAAATTGAGATTGTCATACTGTTGTCCCACTCATAATAATGGCCAAGACCTGGCGTATCTTTATGTGTTATACAAAAAGTTGTGTAAAAACAGAAATGCATGTTTTATTTAGGGTTTTAAATGTCACGCGAGACTGATAATGCAATACCTTAAAGCCAGGTCATAAAACTGCAAATCTTTCCCCATTCAACCAGCTTTCTATCTCTTTTCGTTTAATCGATTTCTTTATTATACATAAAAAGGTCACTCTTTATGATGTGATTTTATTTTTCCCGATGCGCGTTGTGTTCAAAAAAATGTATGTTCTTTGTTCAAGAATTTACACACAAAACTGTTAATATTGAGCGACCCGACCGAATTAGAATTTTTTTGCCAGAGCGTTTTTAAAATTATCTTCAATTATCTATCAACTCCTTATAATATTCGCTCATTAATCGAAAACACCCTGCACGAGTAAAATTGCTAGAAAATTGAGAAATCTATGCATGATCGCATCCATGATGATGGACGTTTTCAAACAAGTAGGGTAAAATTGTGGTCAGTAAAATAATTATATGAAGGTGGAGATGAAGAGAAATAAATTTGAAGAAAAATTCAGCATTGGAAAACATAGCTGCGATCCGGAAAATCGCCCCTAAAGATTAAAAACCCACAGCCCACAAGCACCCTGATGGGAAATTAGCTTTGAAAAAATAATAGGCAAAAACTAACATTAGAGTTGGGACATTTTAATGAAGTTTGGGAAATTCGTTATTACAAATTAATCGTAGGTACCTTTGAGGTTGTTCGTGGGGTGTCAGATACAGTGGCAATAGCTGAGTAAAAACAAAAAAAACACCCGGTTAAATCCGTACACTCGAAACAGCAATCTCGATGATGTAATACAACATTGGAAACACGGGGACCGCGCTTGCGTTAAAACATTGTAAACAGCACCCTATACCGGGGCATATTAAAATCATCCCTTAACTTTCGAATAAATGTAGAGTTTCATATAGAATATATATAGTTTCATCAGCTGCAGCGCAATTTGTCGCAATATGTTTATGCCGAGGTATTCGAGATACATCCTATATGCATTTTATGATATTTTTAATCACAAATAATTTATCAACTACCTTATCAAGCCATGTCAGTATCTTAAAAATCATAAACGCGTAATGCCAGCGTGAAACTGCTCAATGTGACCATTGTCTGTTACAATGCGTTATCCAACTCTCAGATGTAGCTCTCGTTTGCAGTTGTAGTCTTCCTTATTGTTTTTCACCTCAAACGCTGCGTGAATTCTTGCGATGAGTTCCCATTGAATAAGAAAATGTTTTCCTATGTCTGCACATAAAAAGTCCCAACAGGTTGAGGTCTGGACATCGCGGTGGTCAAGCAATGGGATCACAATGATCCACCTATCCATCGATTTGAATGACTTCCACTCATAAAATTCGGGACAACTCTTTCAAAATGACCCAGAGTAACATTATGTAAAGGGAACATTTCTGACCAACTGGACATCGCGGTCGTCTTTCTGATTTGAAGAAGAACGTCCTCAAGTAGTAGAGGTAAAGGGTTCCCCACAAACGCTCGGTACATCTCGTTGTTCAAATTATTATCAAATAAATGTGGTCCAATGACTTCATTATTAATTAATCAATCCCAAACGTTCACTGAACATCTTCGTTGAAAACGGGTTTCGAATGGCACGAGGGTATTCCATTGACTAGACATAATCATTGTAGAAATTATTGATTCCATCTGTTGGAAGTGTAGGTCTTGGTGTGTCTTGGTCACAGAAAACTTTCTTAAAAAACCAATTATATGAGCGTTCCACCATTCACTAACCGGAACCCGTTTGGGGAACATCCGGTGTGAGAAGTTCTCGTACCCGTTGGTAATGATTCAGCTCAGTAGTTTAGGAAAGATTTTTGCGAATGAAAGAGTTGTTAAGGTTTGAAGGGACGTTTCTTGTCTGGAAACAACTATTCTGGTATCGTAGTTGGTTGGCTTTTCTCGCTGATGGTGAGACAGTGGTAATATTCACACAATATTCAAATACTTAAAGTCATGTCCGTGTATTTCAATAATTTGTAATTCCATCCAAATTACCAGGGCCGCCACAAACTTATTCTAACTCAACTGAACAACTGGAACAACTTACAAAATTCCAAAAACGGTTTAAAAATTACTATACCAAGAAATGGATTGGACAGTACACAAAAAAAACTACAGACTAATTACATTACAGCGGCTTGAAGGAATGATCGGTAAATATATACGATACGATCACATCAGTTTAACTTTAAACATTAACACTCGACTATTGATCTACTTTTTATTTTTTAAATGTTAATGGATTCTAATTTTTCGCCCCCGAGAACCACCCGATGTGAGATTTCGTTGAAAGAGTAGAATTATTTTTTTTATTTAAACTTTGCCCTGTATTTCGAGAACCGTCCACTTTTGAATGAGACAAATTTAGGTAAATCATCATGCTTTCATCCCAGGAATTTGTGGTAGGATTTTAAACAGACATTTTGCAGACACCCTGTATCTCTGCTTGCAAAAATGTAATTGACTGTCTCAGCAAAGTGCTCATACCCCGATTGTTCATGAACCGTTCGGAATTCAGCAAAAGGGAAAAGTATACATTTTGCTTAAAATTAAGCCAAGAAAATCATCTGTCTAAAAAATTTATATTTTGGACATGTATTTCTTCATTTGCAAGGAGTTCATTATTGAGTGATATTATACTAAATGATTTGTCCAAAAAATACAGCCACCAGCCTCTGTTAAGCCTGTGTACGCCTGTGTACGACCTGTACGACGTTAAGCCTGTGTCTGTCCTTCGTACGAAGGAGTACGAATTGACAGATCTCCAACCAATAGAAACACTTTCGTATCATCGTACCATCGTATAAACGGATGCATGGGACACGGGCTTTAGTGGGACAACGTACATTAGAGTGCTTCAATTTGCTATACACCGGATATAAATATTACAAAAAATCTAGTAACCACCTAAATTCAAAGGAAACCAAATTTTAAAATCAAAGTATATAATGCGGTAAAACATTAATCAGGGAAAAATTTGGAAAATTTAAAAGCAGGAAAGCAAGTTATTTAAAGCAAATAACAGAAATTATTAACATTTCTTCTAAAAAAGATGCATACCTTTAAAACGTAGCCAAATGCACTGATCAACCAGTAACAAATGTCACTTGCGAACATTGCCTTTCATTACTCACCTATATACAGGGTGTGCCAAGTAAAACAAAACGGAGCTGTTCTCGGTTGATGCAAAAACTGTGTAAAAACATTCGGGCACGCAGCACAGACTGTTTCCTATTAGAGACCTGAGATGATTATCTTCACCCCTAAATCAAGTGTTTTTGTCTGTCAGTTATTTGATTGTGATCGTGTATGATCGAATCTTTAAAAAGGTTTATTCGGCTGAAGAATATTAAGTAATATTTCCCATCGGAAAATGTGCGTACCAAGCAGCTAATATTTTCAACCAACGTTATAGGGACAAGCATGTGAGCCGAAAGTATGGTGCTAAAGTTTGGAAAACCTGGTTCCATTCTTAATGTTAAAAATTAAGAGTTTTAGGACAAATAGCACAAGCGACTTTCAACAAGCCAATTTGTCGACTGTCGACTTTCGTTGGAATAAAAACAAAGTGTGTTAGGAGCATTTTACAAACACATAAATTTCACCCCTAAGAAATGAAACTTTTTGCGATTATGAGTTTTATATGATAAGCCAAAAAGCGACTAAAAATGGAACGTTTATTTTCAATATCTGCTTTTCGGATGAAGCAGATTTTCCTTGCCTAGGGGGTGAATGTACCATCAGGTAATACCGCAAGTATCTAGTAGAAAACCGTCCCCAGTCTATACTAAAATTTAAGTTTAGTTTTTAATCACATTTGTTTCAACCGAGAAAACAGCCATGTTGCGTTTAAATTGGCGCACCCTGTATATTTTTAAGGTTGTCTGACATGAGTTTGCTGCCCTCTTTCGGTGATTTTAGACATATTTATACATCAAATGAGGATTCAACGGTATTTCCGTTAAATTTAGGGGTTGGTATAACTGATAGGTGAACTACGGTTAACTATTTCGCTGCTGTTGCAATTAGTATTGTATTTTAATCTATTGACAATGTTACTGACATTAATTCACTGTCATATATATTAACAGAATAGTACTTACATTTTATTATAGTATTATATATTCCCATTTCTAAGCTGCATTGTCTGTATTTCATATGTGCATTGGCAACACTGAATATTGTGCAAAATTTGAGAGGTTAGTTTTAGGTTACATTAAATTTATATAGTTTCGTGTTCAGGCTAATTCTAAAGTTTAGTTCCAGATTTAGTTCTGTTAGTGAATTAATTGCATACCAAGCAGGTCAGTACTATGTCCTACTTATGTTCGATATATAATTCTAGCCATACAGGTTTAAATCCTTCCCAATCTGGTGCAAGGTTTCGTATGGTACTTTCTACATGCTTATATCCTCATATTAAAGCTAAATTTAACTATAGATCACATTTTATTTTCTCAATATTATCTAGACACTTCTTTATGATATCTATTAGTACTAGGGACTTTTATAATAGCGTTACACAATTGTCCGAAATTTCCGATTGGAAAAATCAAAGCCCAGCACGTTTATGGTTTGATATTTTGGTCTAATGCTTGTACCAATGACAGAGAAAATATCCACGTGTTTAATTTGCCTTAAAATCATTGCTGAAAGCTCCACAGAAATGTATTTAAAGCATGTGTTTAAGCCAGGGCTTCTCAAACTTTTGTATTCACAGCCCCATTGTAAAACAAAGATTTATATCACATTTGTTACCCAATCAATACACAAGCAATCAGTTCACATGGGTACATTTGAAAACCATCGACTTAAAATTGGACAAAAATTACATTCCACATAAATAAAAAAAAATATGGATCAAATAATCACTTTAATTTAAATGAAAACATTTATTGAGACTAATGTACTTGTTTTCTACTGTATAACAAATTAAATATTGATGCGTTATTTGACACTGTTGGATGTAATATCTCTCAACATTTTTAAGCTATGAACGATATTGGGGTTTATATGTGTTGAAATATTTGTTTGTGAATGTAAATGGGGTCACAAATACACAGTTAGATTTTACACATTTTTGTATTTAAATTTAAATAGTTGACATTAAAATCTCACACTCCAGAATTTTGGTAAACAAAGTAATCTCGGTATTTTTTGTAGCAGTTGTTTTAAAAAAAGTAACAAATTTTCGCTTTTTTAACAGATCAAATGTTTAGCGTTTATTTATTATTAATCGCATGTTGATATTTTCCGTATGTGATTGTTCCTTACACTGACAATACGTCTTATTTCTAAGTTGCTCTTAGTTTGGCAGATACGCAAACTAATGTATGTACTTTCTACAGTTTTGCCTTAATCAAGTGCAACATTATATCATTAGATATAGATCTTATTGCAACATTATATCATTAGATTATAGATCAGGTGTCTCATCCCAGCAAATACTCGAATTTTCTAAGCGAAATAACCCCGGCAGACTGACTAAATTATTAATTTCCAAGAATTATTATAAGAGAAATGATTTTGAAAATTTTAAATAACTATAGATTTCTATTCCAGGAATAGGTAGTTTAGCTTTTTACCATTCACCTGCCGCGATCGATATGTGGCAAACTATAATTAAGAACAATTTGAAAATTGGACAGTGTGCTGAAGTCATTGGTGGAAAGCGATATAAAATATTTTGAATGTATTCATAGTTTTTCGGTATAACTGGCTACTTATAGTTTGCCAGAGATCGATCGCGACGGGTGCCGGTGGGACACTCTGTATTTATTAATTTATAAATACATATATTGTATTATAACACAAAGCAAAAATAGACGTATCTAAAATGATTTGTTCTTATTATTTTCAGTTAGTTCTACATCATAAGCCTTGCAAATATGTCAAAGAAACGGGGGAATAAAAAGAACAAAGACTTCGATGAAGACGACGACTTGGATCAAAAGCCGACGCCAACGGTTTCTGAAACAGGCACCAAAAGCAAAAAGAAATCAAGTAAAAAAGATACTAGGAGAAAACCGGATAGTAGTGAGGATGAAGGGGTCAAGCCATCTGCATCAACGGCGGAGATCGAAGATCCCCCAAAACCAGCTCCAAAAGTCAAAAAGAGCGCGAAGAAAGGAAAGAAGAAAAATGACGACGAATGGGATGAAGATGTGCCAGAGATTGATATGACGAAAGATGCATATGCTGAAGATATTCCAGTTCCTAAAAAGTCATCGAAAAAGAAGGATAAGAAGAATATTAAATTGGAAGACAGTGATAATGAAGAAGAAGACATCAAAATCAACGCAGAAGAGGAGGAGGAAGAAATAGTCAAGCCTGCACCTAAGAAGTCTAAGAAAAAGGAGAAAAGGAAAATTAGTGTCGAAGAAAGTAATGAAGAAGACTACGCATTGGATGTGCCTGAAGAGGCTGAAGAAGAAATAGTTAAACCTGCAATAAAAGTATCAGAGAAAAAGAAAAATAAAACGAAGAAAGGTGTTGCTCAGGACACTGAAGAAGCCCCTGTTACACCAGAAGTAAGTGAAGAAGTTGATACCTCAAAATCAGTTAGCGGACCTGCATTGCCTGAAAAACCAATGAGTAGCGACAATGAATATCAAAACGAACCAGAGACTGTTAAGAAACTGACACAAGAAGAGAAACTGAAATTAGCTACACCCGAACATGGTACCTCTGAAGGAATAACCGACAAACTTAAATCCTTAGAAATAGACCCAGATAAGGAAAAGAAACTTACCCATAAGGAAAAGAAAAAAATTAAAAAACAACAAGAATATGAAAAACAAATGGAAACTATGCTTAGGAAAGGTGGTCAGGGTCATTCTGAACTTGACAGCAACTTCACAGTTTCACAAGCCCAGAAAACTGCAGGCCAGTTAGCAGCTTTAGAAAACGCAATCGATATAAAAGTCGAAAATTTCAGCATATCTGCAAAAGGAAATGATTTATTTGTCAATGCTAATCTGCTCATCGCAAATGGTAGGCATTATGGTTTAGTAGGTCCGAATGGTCATGGAAAGACTACTCTACTGAGACATATTGCGCAGAAAGCATTAGCAATTCCGCCTGGTATCGACATATTATATTGTGAACAAGAAGTCGTAGCAGATGACTTTAGTGCTGTCGAAACTGTACTAAGGGCAGATGTAAAAAGGAATGAACTTCTCGCAGAACAAAAGAAGCTGGAGGAAGACTTTAACTTAGGAAATTTGGAAGTGCAGGACAGATTAAACGATGTTTATGCCGAATTAAAAGCTATAGGTGCCGACTCTGCGGAACCGAGAGCGAGGAGAATTTTGGCTGGTCTTGGTTTTACTAAAGGAATGCAGAATAGGGCAACCAAACATTTTTCTGGAGGCTGGAGAATGAGAGTATCTCTCGCCAGAGCATTGTATATTGAACCAACTTTATTGCTACTTGATGAACCTACAAACCATTTAGATCTCAATGCTGTTATTTGGCTGGATAACTATTTGCAGGCCTGGAAGAAAACTTTACTAATCGTTTCCCACGACCAGTCATTCTTGGATAATGTTTGTAATGAAATTATCCATCTTGATAATCTCAAACTGCACTATTATAAGGGTAATTATTCCATGTTTAAGAAAATGTTTGTTCAGAAGCGAAAAGAGATGATCAAGGAATATGAAAAGCAAGAGAAAAGATTAAAAGAATTGAAATCGTCGGGATCTTCGAAGAAACAGGCAGAAAAGAAGCAAAAGGAAGCACTGACCAGAAAGCAAGAAAAGAATCGATCTAAAATACAAAAACAGGAGGACGAAATGCAACCACAAGAGCTATTGCAAAGACCAAAAGAGTATTTGGTCAAATTCAGATTTCCCGAGCCTCCACCACTACAACCTCCAGTTCTTGGACTTTACAATGTCACCTTTGCCTATTCTGGTCAAAAACCTTTATTCGTCAAAACTGATTTCGGTATTGATATGAATAGTCGCGTAGCTATCGTTGGACCTAATGGTGTAGGAAAGTCTACTTTCTTAAAATTGCTTGTCGCTGAACTCACGCCACAAGAAGGAGAATCCCGTATGAACCACAGATTAAGAATTGGAAGATTTGATCAACATTCTGGGGAACATCTCACTGCGGAAGAAACCCCATCAGAATACTTAATGAGATTATTTGATTTGCAATACGAAAAAGCTAGGAAACAACTCGGAACTTTTGGTTTAGCAAGCCACGCACATACCATTAAAATGAAAGATTTATCTGGGGGTCAGAAAGCAAGAGTAGCTCTAGCTGAATTATGCCTTAATGCCCCTGATGTATTAATATTAGATGAGCCCACCAACAACTTAGATATTGAATCAATTGATGCCCTAGCAGAAGCTATAAATGAATATACCGGAGGCGTTATAATAGTGTCTCACGACGAACGACTGATCAGAGAAACTAGTTGTGCCTTGTATGTTATAGAAGATCAAACTATTAATGAACTGGAAGGTGACTTTGATGACTATAGGAAGGAGTTGTTGGAAAGTCTTGGAGAAGTTATTAATAGTCCTAGTATAGCTGCTAATGCAGCAGTCAGCCAATAATAATTTATCTTGTACTCATTTTTTATATTACAGTTCGTTATCTATTTCCTTAGTATTAATATTATTATATATGTATTGATTTCCTATTTGCTTATTTGTATAAATACTTGATATGCTCAAATAACTTCTGATTATTTATTAGGTACTTATTACATTCAGAAGGGTTTTTGGGCACATTTAGTCAGATGCGCTTTTCATCTGTGTATTTGTTGATTTAGTCAACATTTTTATTATTTATATAAATAGTTAACATCGGTTTTTTGAAATAACTTATGATTACATATATGTAAATAAGGCTTTAGATTTAGAACTGTTTTTCGACAACCGTTTATCATCTGTATATTTGGTTTCAACGAAATGTATGTACTTACAGTTAAGTAGGTAATGTTGATAATACTTTAAATTATTAGTGGCGCTTTTTTAGTTTTTGATGTCATTTTGTTGGTAACTAAGAGACTGCATAATTGTACGCAGTATGTATAAGAACTTGTAAACTGCAGATATCAAGAAAATATATTTTTAACAAGAGATTAACTTTTTATTTTTGGTTTCATTCGGTAGCTATTTAATGTATGAAATGTATATGGTTGCATCTGCCACCTTATGTGAAAGTTTATTTTACGATGTTACTTTACTCCAGTTTATTAGAAAATAAAATTTAATTTAAGAAAGTAGCATATCCAAAATGCTATCAAATTCAACCAATTTTTTTACTAGATTTTATTTAGGTAAACCGTGTGGGTGTCAAAAGAAAGGAGCTGAGATGCAGTGCTCTTGACATTTTTTGATTTTTTTGAAAAAATAATCATACGAATAGGAAAAATACTTATTGATGCTGATTACGATATAAGTTAACTTTGGGGCATCATCTGAAACTTTTCCATAAACTACATATTTTTAATTACTTAAACAAGTGCGCCTGAGACTTTTTTAAAAACTCGATAGTAAAAATTAAAAACTCGAGTGATCTCAAATCGATCAATCTGCTTTTTCAATGCGTTTATTACTAATACTATGTTAGATTTTGAGGGTTTATTCCTATGGCGATTGGAAATGTCTGTGTTTCTTTTTTTGCTCAAAATCCGGGGCAAAGGTTGCACTAAGGAAACCTTACGACGCGCTCTGGAGAAGATACAAAAACCACCATCACCAGATTAGTGAAGGTCTATAAAAGTAGTAAGTTTTTTTATTTGGGATTCATATACCAAGGTGTTGCAACCAACACGGGTGGAAGATTATGGCAACTAGTGTGTAATTTTGAAATAATTTTTATTTGTGGTATTGGCATCAGCAGTGGCCATCCATTGGAATGTTAATTTAAAAAAATCAAACACCCAGTTTTTTATTATGCTATCTTTGAATGTGCAATATATTAATACCCTGAATCACACGTTGCTTGTGTACAGTTCTGATCTAAATGGGATTCTGCTTTCAACTTTATAACTCTATATCTAGTAAACAATTAACCGCAGACTGAATGAACCTTAAATAAAAATTTTTTCTTTTTTGGAAGAACCAATTGCGACATATTTATATAGGGTGTTCCATAAAAAAAAAGGTTTGATATGCCACGAATTTTTAGGACACCCTGTGTATAAATATAAATAAAAAAAATAGGCCCGTGGCTAACGAGATACAGGGTGTTGAAATTTCAAAAAAAATTTGGTATTTTCCTTTTAGCTCCTACAGTTTATGAGATATTTTGGTCAAATTTTTAACGTAGGCTAATGTTTGAACCCTTTACCCGTAGGTGAGGAGAATGGTTGTGAATATCTACAGGGCGTTCTTTTTCTAGAGGCATTCCTCCTTTTACCCCCCCGAACTTTTTTGTGGTGCGCCACTAACTTTGATCTAACAAATCTTTGAATTTGTTGTTCAATTTAAGAATTTTCTGAGCTCTAGCAGTTTCCATGTCGATGTAGGGTTCCTGGGTAATTTTCCATAAATTTTCTTATATTTTTTGCGTCCTTTTGTTCACAATTTTTTGTGTACAACTTATATTTCAGTTTCTTAATATGGAATATTTATAGTTTCAGTGTACAAAATATCAATACATATTTACGCAATTGCTTTGCCGGTGTATTCTTTTATCCCTTAACCCTAAAAAGTCTAAAAGAAAATTGAATGTGGCGCCAAATTGAAAGCTAGGTCGCTCAATCCGTAAGAGCGCTGCCGGCGCTGCTAATAGAGTAGGAGGTCTAATCACTAAATCATAGAGGAGTCTCTAAATCATAGAACAAGACTTACCTTACTTTCTAAATAATAGGTCTAAATAGTGAGTAGTCTGTACCTCTGAGAATGCAAAGCGCTCGTCTATACAAAACGGGAGGGAGTTCTTCTATGACAGCCGCAGCAACAATGCCCGCAAACTGAACCACTCAAAGTATTATAAGTTTTAAGAAATCCACAAAAGATGGATTTTATATAAGATGAATTATCAACCGTCACTATTGGATATTCAACTGACAGATTGTAAAAATAACTTATGACGCTTAAGTTTTTTGTTTAAAATATAAATGAATTAAAAAAGAACAGAAACCCGTCCAATACCTTCCATCGCTTTTGTGTCAAAACTACACTTATTTTGATTGAAAAACCTACCCAGTGCTGGTAGAATATGCCAATTTAAAATCAAAATATCTGTATATACGTCTGAGCAGTTTCTGGACTTTCTTGGGATTTATTCATAAACAACTGGATATTCTCACTGCATAAAAATGCTATGTGCAACATTTGAGCGACCCTGTACAAAATGATGGAGACAATCAGCTGATCAATCAAAGCATAGACTATTTGCCTGTTCTAGAGTTGTAAATTTAGAAACAGTTCTGACTGTTTTCTGCAGCGACACAAATTGTTTAATTTTGTCCCCGGTAATTACGGTTGTTAAATGAAGAAGAATTCCCGGTTGTGAATTAGTCTTTTTAAGCTTAACTGTAGTGGTTGTCAAGTAAAATTGCTTTCCGTTTATTGCTTCTCTAGGGCATTAAATATTAACAAATATTTATCAAGAATCAAGATTACTCTTCACCCTCAATCTTCCACAAAATATCCCCCGGGGGTATGTTCTGTGCAATCTTCTTTGCATCAAATAAACATGACAGCAGGTACTAGAATGTAGATAGACAAAAACCTTGGAGATTTAGAAAATCCTGCCTGAAATCCACCAGTTGTTTAACTTATAAGTTCCATACTGAATCGTTGAAGATACTTTCTTAAAACAGAGGTAAGTATGCATATGTTTATTGGAATATTCCTTGATTGTATATTTGTTTATCTACTCATTGTTTCTACCAAGTTGTTAATTTACTTTTTCTTTTGTTGCTTTTGTCTGTTGCCGTTTGCTTGTGCTCACTTTGTGACTGGGAAATAATTGAATTGTGCACATTTTAGGCACACATGGACGGGTTTGATGCAATTTACTATGAGGAAGAAATAGAAAATAATGAGGAAACAGAGCCTGCTGAAGTATCCTTGGTACCTGATCCGGTAACCATTCGAGGGGCTGGAAATATGACTGTGTAAGTTTTTGCTTATTTATCTAATTTGAGGCAAGTCCTGGTTAATTACATGAACACTATAAGACTACATTAATAGAATTTACCTTTTCTACCTCAAATTAGCGATTAGCATCTAGCAATTGATAGAAGAGAAGCAAAATGTACTTAAATTGTCCATAAACTGTCTAGTAATAATTCAAATAAAATGCTTTATAATAATGATAAAATTTCCAACAATATCATTAACATGATCCAGCAACGTCAAAAGTAAAAGTTGCGTTTCTACAACAGTTTAAGCGCTATAATCCATTAATTAAGATAACATTGATTAAAATGATAAAACTTAAGATCTAAGCACTAAAATTAAAACAATAGAAACATTTCAGATGCACCCATCGGTCAATGGTAAAGGTCTTTTAAATAAAGAAATATAATCAACATCTCTAATGCTTGTAGGAAATAGTCGATATACCATAGTACATCGTAGCCCTATAATTTGCTCTGTTTCGTGTGCAGGAATACTGAATTAATATCGACCACGAGTAATCATACCCATGTTTTCCACATAAAAATCTTTATTCAAGGAGAATGATTCAATATTCGTCCTCACAAACGTAATCAACCTAATTTAATAAAGGGACATAAGGGCGAGTCAGGATCCCCTGCTGAGAAAAATATTCTCTACGCGGAGCTCTGTGATTTACCCCTAACATAGTTCTCAAAATTCTCTTCTGGACTCTAAAAACATCCAGGGCACCCCTCTAGAATTTTTTGTTTGCCCGGCGGCAGGTCTTTCTAATCTCAACCTTGCCTTCTATATAAGTTCGGGTGGCACATTTTGCCAAGATGTAGCCAGTTCAATCCTAACATCCTTGAGGTTATTTTTTTTAATTCTGAAGATATATCCTCACTTTTCGGAAGAAATAATCTATTTTAAGAGATAATTTCTGTAATGTAACTTGTAATCGCTTGAATCAGATTCTGATTTTTTTTAATTTGATTTTCCATGGGTTGCACTAATGGCGATACATTAAGTGGAAAAAAAATTGCAACAATTTGTTTGGCATCTGAAGGGAAATCTTCTGGGTGCCTTGGAGCATTGTTTAAAATTAGAAGAGCCTTTGCATATAAATTCACCTTTCGTTTTTTTCAAATTGCAGGAACCAAATCGGTGTAGAACCATTAAAAAAGTATAAGTCTTCGAGCTAGGAAGAAGGAGGCCCTCCAGATCTGCCTAACACTATTAATTTCATTTTATGAGTCCGAGAGGCGTTCGAACACGGCATAAATGTAATTTTCTTCTTGCTCATTTTTCAACTTGGGACTGATGCTTCATATTGATCAGCAAGTGTCTTTTGCGGGAGAAATTTTCAAAAAAGTCTACTTTTGCCTGCATTATAGATTTGGTGCAACAACTGCATTTCCTAAACTTTGTTTCGATGCAGTTCTTTAAATGGCGTTCGGCTCCCTCGTCACTGGATAATTTTTCGCTTGTGATCGATAGTTGTCGAATCCCATATCGGTTTTAAAATTTATCAAGCCACCAAGTACTTGCTTTAAAATTTTTGTTATCGTAAGTCTGATTTAAAAAAAATGGGCTCTTTTCCATAAAGTTTCTCCTGACATTGGAATACAAACATTTTGGGAGTGAAACATCTGTCTCGACCCGTACTGTTCGGATGAACGAATTGTTGTTCGGACTATAGCGCCAGCTTTTGGACAAGAGCAAGTTCGGATTAAGGAGGTTTTACCGTATTTGTTTTGACAAAATGTCAATACATTTCAGATTTTATAAACTTCCATTCTAACTATATTACACAGTAAAACCTAAAGTTTCAGCATTATCTTGATCCGCAATACGAAGCCAAGGTAATATACATTTTTTCTATTCTGTTCTGTTCTGTTTGTATGTCAGAATGGTTACAACTAAGTAATGTAAAGTGTAACTAAGGTAATTTCAAGCGCAAGTTAAATACGATAAACTATACAGAGTCCCCTATAAAAAGATATATTTTTTGTTAATTGCTCGGAAACTATTTGCTTACCGCAAATTAAATTTACATTGTCGGATACTACGTGAAAAAGTGCTTTGGAAATGGAAAAATCACAGGAAAATAGTTATGAGAGCATTTACAAAATTGCAGATTTCTGGAAAAGACCCTGTATCTCTAAAATTCCTAGAGGTATTGACATACGGTTTTCATCATTAATTTTGTCATAAAAATCGAAGCTCAGACACCGATATCAGTTTTTGTCTATCTGGTAAGGAAATAGGAGTTTCCATTTAAAAGCGTTCAATTTCGCCCACCCTGTACATGGTTTTTTCTTACATTTAAGCACATTTATCTTATATATTAATACGGATAATTTGTCACTCTAAATAGCTTAATAACACCTTGACAAATAGCAAATGTACAAAAGCGCTAATAACCCACATTAACTCTACCCTGTAGCACTTGTCCCTCTGACGCTAATCTGATTACGTCCATCTCGAAAAGCAATATATAAAAGAAAATGATATGGTCTGATTTCATATGCTTACATAATTACTCATTTTAAATTTATGAAAATATAGTTCGCAAAAAAGGTTTTGCTTAAAATTTGACTCATTTAATACGACCTCTACGCATAGGAGATTATCAAGACTTGCTGAAAACTCACATTATTGCATCCTTCTCTGTTTAATGCAACTTCTATATTACTTTTATATCGTAAAGCGACTAATAATAATGTCATATAAAATTGAATTGTTCAAACAACGTCTAAATATATTAGTTGCAAGATTGTTGATTTTTTTGGGAATTCGGTCTGGGCAGTGGTGAAGAAAAAGAAAAACTTTTTTAGTTACCAATCTTTGACCATGAGAAGGCTGGGAACCTTCCAGAATATTCTATAATTTTTTGTACAGCTTGATGAAATATTTAATATTTTAGTTACATTGTTTGGTCACAATTGGATTACACAAAACATTTATTCACGATCAACATGTTTTTCTGCAGAAATAACGAGAACACACTCACTAAATACAAATTAATGATGAGCTGAAGGCCCTGTACATCTAATCTTTTTTTCACCTAATAACCAACATACTAATCTAATTTTTCTTCACCACTGCCCAGACCGAAATCCCAAGAAAATCAACCATCTTGCGATCGGTATCGGTCAAGAAACTGAACTTATAAATATATTAGTGACATATACAACAACGACAACATCTTTATTCGGTGAAAAGACTATCGACCATTGCGGTATTTCCGCCCAGTGACATATATTTTAAATTTGATTACAGTTTCGGCCTAAGCAATAGATTCAGTACAGAGTTTCCTGGTGGACTGGTTTCACGAGTTGCCCCAGAAGAGTTTAAAGAGACTGTCATGCGAATAAATGGAATTCTAAAGAAAACCTTGCCTGTTAATGTTAAATGGCTATTTTGCGGATGTCTTTGCTGCTGCTGCACATTGGGCTGCTCTTTGTGGCCTGTTATTTGCCTCAGCAAACGAGTAAGTATTTACTTTTAATGAAAATTGAGGTTTAGAATTATCCATACTATACTTTGTTATTTTCGACAGACACAACATTCCTTGAACAAGTTACTAGAGTGGGAGAACAGTTATTTGTATAACAAGTTAGGCTTGCATTGGCGGCTAAGCAAGCAGCAGTGTGATTCTTCATCGATGATGGAGTATGTTATTTTAATAGAGTTTTTGCCAAAAGTACCGATTCATAGACCTGACTAGCATTAATGTCCAGTTTGATTTCAATTGAATCTCCTGGTTTCATAGGCTAGTTCAGATTTTTTCACCAAGTTTGAATATTTTGCCTCCTTGTGTGCCCAAGGTTGTTAATGCCTTATATAAAATAACGTAAGGAACTTTAGGGCTTAAATAATACATATATGAACAATTTGACAATCAAAATTTAACCCACAAAACAATGAGACGCTGGCAATAGTTTGTCAACGATTTTATTATTTATAGATTACGAACGACTCATTCCTTGCATCTTTGAATGTCTTGATCAGTGAAATTCGGTTGAAATCGCCTTTTTTAGAGTAATAGGCATTCGATATTCTCGAAAGCTCTCGTTTAAATTGGCAATACAATGACAAAATCTTCAAACATTCTATGTAATGAAAGTTTTTCTTGTAAATAATATGTGGAAGATAATAGCCATATTGTACTTTCATCCATGTAGCTGTGTATATTTATACACATCGCAATAGTTTTTTAATCGTTATCGTAGCTTTTAAACGATTGTTAATGTTAAACCAATGAGCAGGTTATTTTAAAGTTATTATTTGTTCATCTGGCTTAAATTGAATTAATGCCAATTTGTATTTTGAATAATTCTGGCGAGCATCCTTAACTTATAACATAGACAGGTAAGTGGTCTATGTGTCTCAGTTAATATTGTTTATTGTTTTACTAAGCCTCGGTTCGTATCTTATATACCATTTAACTCTTTCAGGGGCAGTCATATTTCTTGAAATTAAGACCTGCATGGGCAAGGGTATAAAATATATCGTATTATATTATCGATTGATTCAACATGATTTAAAGGGAAAAACGGATATAAAATAACTTTTGTACCGGTACACTAATACACAAAAAAATAAAACACTCTAAATACGTAGTAAAAACCATTATGTAGTCAATATCAGTGTCTTATGGAATTCTTGAAAGCAAGTTTTGTTTTTGCATAGACCGAGCGGCACATTGCATACGGAACATATCCAATCCGTTCTTATTTGCTTTTTTGATGAGCTTCACAAGGCACAGCGACGTGTTGTGTCCCGTTGTGGCTGGTGAGAACGTTGCTTTCCTCTGACTTCACAAGGAACAAAGGGTTTCTGCCGTTTAATAGTAATAGGGCACTTACTGTCAATGAGAGGTCGCTTAGTTTTGACAATAGTTTCTGCATTTACAACGGCAGCATCAAGAAAGTGAAAAAATGCGATGTCATTTACGAGATTTCCTGTCAACCTTGTATATACATATTTAGATTTTGGTCGAATTTATCGACAAAATTCATATTTCGGCTATAGTTATGAATAACTTCTGTAAATGAAAACTGATCGCAATGTGCATTGGTTCAAAAAACGTACGACAATAATAAGTGATTTTTTTTTGACTTAAATAATTCAATTTATGTATTTTCGTTGATTAAAATTGTATTTTATACATTGCATTCTTTCTTTAGCTATGGTTATTCATGCGCTTAAATAAGTTTATTCTTTCTGAAATTTATCATATCAATCATCAATATCATCAGTAGATTAAAAAAAAATAGATCCAACAATTGACTCCAAACCACTCTGCCGTTCATAGTAGCCTTCAAATTAATAACTGACAAGCTACTACGTCACGTCAGTGTTGGTCGTAGATTTGCACCAGTGTCCGAAAAGTAACAAGTATTTATTTGGAAGGTACAGATAGATTTTGGACACGTGCCCAAGTACCGGTAATTATTCTAGGGTACAATTTTTATACCCGTACCCCTGAAAGAGTTAAAACGGATTACTGTCAATAATCACAAATGTTAACTCTGATAATGTTTGTTATTTGCCGATATTTCTTTGAAATAGCCATAAATCATAATTGTGATAATTTATAGTATATGGTCCTTACACTTTTAATGTTTTTGCAACTTGTTGACTTTTATTCCACATTTGGTAGTATAAGAGAAAGCAGTAAGTGAAATAAAGGTTCAAATTAAAATTATGATATTTTTTATCCAGGTATTTTATTTATTTGATAATTGTGCAGACGTCAGTGTCATTGGCAGTGCGAGATATAGTGAATTGAATGTGTTAATTTGTCGATGTGTTTGAAGCCTCTACAGGTATTATGCCAGTTACTAAACAACGAATTGATTTCCAAATTATTGATTTTAAATCACTGGGCAGTCTCAGTTGGGAATTTATAATGAGATTGTATTTAGCGCCTAGCTATTATATGCATGTGATTAAACTTTTTTAAATCAAGCCATTTGTGTTTTTATGCCGTTATATTCGGTTGGAACTTTGAAGATCCAAAAATACACATTTATACAGGATAATTACACATTTTATTATTAAAAATAATAAATAAGATTTCTATATATAAGAACAGTATACTATCAGTTTTCTATAAATTAAAAAAGCTTAAACTTATAAAATGGACATCCGAATTGACAATTTGTGTGATGAATTTCCCTTACAAATATAAAGACTAGTATATTATTATATGGATTGAGGGATACATTTATAGGTATATAAACGTCGAAAATATTTTAAGTATTTAAACTATACATGAGAAAGAAGCTGTTCTATGATTGCCGAACTTAGGTATTAGACAAACTGTTTTTTTTTCCATAAAGCGTAACATTTTGTGAGAAAGATCATGCATCCTATTACTTATGCACAATAAATAGCCGATTATATAAAAGGTTAAAAGATCACACACTGAAGGAATCGTGATATATTTTGTTTAAAGATAAATATTACAAAAGTACTCTAGGCTTCGTTATTTTTGCTATACATTAATATAAAGCAGAACAGTATCGTATGTTGCAAATAAGACGGCTTTGAAGAAAATACATTTATCACAAGGCACACAGTGCAGAAAAATATATAGAAAAATATCAAAATTTTTTAATTCGGCCTAAGTAAAATATATGTATCACAAGATTATTTTAAGAAATAAAGTGCGATTATTGGTTAAATGCAGTCTACATAACTCAATAATTCACATTGGACCAATCAATAGTTTACCTGGTTTTCAAATGTTACATATCGAGTTATGGACAAGCCTATGCAATACTGATAGCCTAGAACTACCATATAGCATTTTTTTTCCTAAATGATGAAAGCAAAACTATTCTCGGTTTTGTAATTATTGCATAGCCCCGTCACATTTGTTGGGAAAAACTATTAAAATCATAATAAGCGTAATCCTTGCTTGGTGATAAATATTTTCTCCCAATTCCAATTCAAGAAAATTGTGGAATCGTTTGGGGCAAAAACGTGTATTTATCAATTTGCTGAAATATTGTTTAAAAGCATCACACCATTTACTTCTTATCTGTAACCCTTAAACCAGGCTCTATTTTGCAATACTTTCAAATTTACACTTCAAATGTCAATATCACACATCGTCTAGAAAATAATTTGAAATAAAAGTAGTGTCAGGTTAAATAGTGATTCATTGCACGGTCCTTAACAATTAACTACCTCTATGGTACAAAATTTAACTGATCCGTTTAAATAGAATTAATTCAATGCTTTTGTTCCGACTGATTTTTAAATATTCTTATTTCTTATTCTTATTAATACGAGATGCCCCCCCCAAATTTCATCAGATAATATTCTCTGCAGTAGTGGTGTGCGATCTGAATACTTTTGCATACTCGTAACGACTAGTTTTTTGATTCAATACTTGTTACTTAGGATCAGTTGGTAATTCAAGTCATTGGAGTCGTTAATTCTACTAAAGTCGAGGCCCGATATTAGTATTTTTTTAGGGTCCTTCAGATTGACAGACTTGATTTTCCGAGAAAGTAATCCTTCTCGGAAAATCCCGTCTCCCAATCTGAAAAGCGCTGAAAAATATTAATATCGGTCTTATTTCGCGCGGCGTAATCAGTCGATTACACTTGAATACTCGTTTGATGGCTTGGTTCGGTACTCGTTCCTTCGACTCGGATAAGTAACGATTATGCCGGTACCGAATAGTTACTTTTCCCACCACTACTCTGCAGGTATACATATGTCGGAACTGCGATTTCGTTTCTCTATTTGGAACTATTCTTGATTGACAAATTAGGCAAACGGTGTAACCAGGTTTCGACAAACCATTCACATTTTCGTCCAACAGCATTTCGCTAAAAATTTCAGTCAGTACAAGGAATGATTGAAATTGTTAGTCAAATAGAGTAACGATATAGCAGCTATATTAGTTGCCGGCAATACGCTAAATGCCTAGTAATTTCAGGGAATGATGGGTTTCAGTGTTTGCCGCCGAGATATACGCAATTTACACTCATTCCAAAATATGTACATCGGCATATTGGAGCCTCTCCGTATGAAGACGCTTGAGTATTGCGGCACATTGGTGCCGTGCGAAGAATTTATAATTCTGTTCTTTTAAATTGCCACTTATCAGGTCCCCTACATATCGGATCCAAGGAACCGATGCAATTGAATCCTCTTCCTGACTTTTGTAATGAAAGCAAAAAACAAGATGAAAGTTGCTGCTAGAATTAGTGGTATCTATAGAGTATAAAAGTGCATTGAGAAAAAAATCTTATTTACAAAATCAGTACAAAACTTTCAATATTTAATACAGAAGCAGTAATTGTGTAAGTGAAGCAAGACTTCATAAGGCTTTGTTGGTAATGCTTCACATTGGTAAAATATGTATTTATGTAATATTGAACAATAGCAGAATTTCCTGGCTTATAAAGTCTTGAACACATTGTTAAGTAACAGTAGTCAGCAAAATGTTAGTAACACATAAGTTATGTGCTTAATTTTGATCAAAGCACCGTTTTCAAATTCATAAGAACTCTTTATATTCTACTAATTTCATAGTCTTAGTTCATTGTCATTAATTCAATGAATACCCCTAGAGATGTACATGAGAATATACTAGTTTACAAAATGCTAGAATCGATAATTAAGAAATCAGTTATTATCATCGTATTATTTATAATATTATTAGACAGATTAGAAAACGAGAGAAATTACACATAAAACATACTGTAGTTCGTAAACCAGAAGGCAGGAATTTACTTTAAAAATAACCCCCTTTCCGATAGTTTTTGGCTATAGGTAAAAAACAGGACAGACATGTACTGATACAGTATTGTGCTTTATGCAGGTGTCGTTGACTTTTGGACGCTAGGAATTTTTTTGAATGCTAAAAAAATTAATGAAAATATTTTGAAGTTCGTATCAAACTGTTGTCCAATACTTTATAATGTTATTTGCGTCTACCGCCCGTTGGGAAATGATTTACTATTATTATTATTGAATAGTCCAGAATTATTTTCCAAACTGATCATAACTAAAACATGAAGTAATGAATGATTACTTATTTGAAGTATTTACAAACACTATGAGAGTATATTAACTATAAAATCCAAGTAAAAACATTAGAGGTTTGTCTCTCTTATAAACTGTTTCCAGGTACAGTGATATATCAAAATCTTCGTTGATTAAAAATTAGGAATCAAGACGAATCTGTCGCAAGAAATACATTTTAAAATCGCGATATTCCAAGGCCATATCTACACTGGAAATTGGGTGGGTATGTCATCAACCTCAAAAGTTGTGCACCATTTTTGGCTAATTGGACATCGACAAGAACAAACCTGATAAAAATCTTTGCATATTTATTTAAAAAATATTATATTTTTTGTGCTTATTACTTATGTAGTCACCGTAGTCCATTTTTTTGCCTTAAATATACATATAGAATCGGGTGCTTTGACTTAAATTTAACCACCATAAGAAGATAGTTAAAGATACAAATCAAGTGAATCATATTGATGATGATGATCAAATGATTCCTTGATTTGTATCTTTAAGTTTCTTCTTATCCACGATGAAAAGAAACTTGGAGATACAAATCAAGCGAATCATATTAATTAATCATTCACTAATTAAATCAATTCAATGTTTAATATAATGCTTATATAAGGTTTTTGAATAACAGTAGATTTACTTTTCCATTTTGCATTTGCTTGTTAAATTGTAATAATTTTTCGAGAAAGCACTAAATAAAATAACTGGTATTTTTTTGGTTTTTTTGGCCGCCGTGAAAAATATTTTCCTGGCGTTTTACAAGCCCCATTTGCCTGCATCCTCAGAGCTCGCTTACTTGAATGCTTAAGGTCAATTCTCACTATAGTTCAACTTAAGGTCCGCGCATGCTCCATTTAAATAGGACTATTCACATTTCGCGTTTCACTCAGGTTGAGCGATGAATGTGAATACTCCCATTTAAATAACATGTTCTAATTGAATTGCAGTAGCATTTTGACTGGACAATGCGCGGACCGTGACATGATTGCAGTGCAGTGTATGTTTTCAATGCAAGGCATCTCTAAGGATGCAAGCCACTCGTGCTCACCAGTTTCAAGGAATGACCTCGAAAGCCTATCTATTGATTAAATAAAATGATTGTTCACATGTTACGGTCGCGGATTAGGTCTAAGTTAATAGCAAAATTTTGTAATTGGCCTGCCATTAAAATAAATCTACTGTTATATGGAACAAAAGAAAACGAAAGAAATTGACTTTACAAAAAACTTCAAATATGCTTTGTTTGAAAACTAAAAAGTGGACTCTCAAAAAGTATTGATAGAAATGCGTTTTACAAATGTCGCCATTTGCTTTATTAATCATTATTATTAATTTGCTTTTTAATGCATCACAATACGACAAATATAATCTAGTGAATCCAATTTAACTAAATATGAGACATTTCATATAAAGCACATAACATAAAATTATGCTAAGTGTTTTTTTTTCCTGGTTGGGGCTGAGTAACAGCCAATGACTAGGGTACACACACATGGATGATAATTTTTTTGAAAATTTCTGCCTATTCGCAAGTTACATACACATCTGTACGTATAGGTTTAAATGGATGCCGGGCAGTCCGCACCTGTTTTAATCCTCATGCGTCTGTTTCTCCGCCTTTCAGCCTCAATCTAGCAAAATCTTCAAATATTATGTCGTCATCGTGGTCTTGAAAATTATTTTCATCTCTGCAATGCGAAGAAAACATTTTGTTAAATAATCAGTTATTCAGTTTTACTAGACTATTAAACATAAACTAAAACTTTCGCCAACATCAGAGCCGTCATGAGTATATATTTTAGATGTGCTAATCTCAGGCACTCTCAGTACCGGTTCGGAGCCTATTAGCTCTCACCTCGAATGTATTTAACATCGGCGAAAAAGTGTAGGTTTTAGAATTGCTAATTTCCTCTTTAGATCAATAACACATTTTTGGTTTTATTCTTATACCGACTTACTTTATGAGTTGGAATTTTTCAACTTTATCCATGACCTTTGCTATTCAACTTATCATAAAAACAGATACTTACGCATCAAGTTGTATTAAGTTGTTATCAACTGGAACATCATGTTCGCCATCTCTGCTTACTCTTCTGGAAGGCGTGACGCTAGGCGGAATTACCTCTTCTTCGGGTTTGGGGTGCATCAAAATGAAGGGTAGTTCTGCTACAAGATCACTATAAGAAAAATTACATTCTGTCAGATTATGAATTCTGTATTTTCGGTCCAAAAATAAGAGAATTCCTATCTACTTACCCTCCCAAAGGCCCCAAACATAATTTTACTTTCACTTTGTATTGTACAATAATTCCCAAATTTTCTCGCTGGGCTGGATCAGCAACTCTAAAACACACAAAGACTTTTTAACAGGCGATTTTTAAATGAAAAATAATTGTAGAATTCAACTCTGTGGCAGAAAAAGTATGTGCAGTTAAAATCAAATGTTGTTAGTACTAACCCCGTCTCCTTTATACAGTGTTAAGATATTTTTAAATTGGTATATGATCATTAAATGAATTTCCAAGTGTTAACTTAATAAGAAGTCTGGTTAATTGCCACAAATGTTATTATTATGTCATCTAATTTTCTATTAGATTAGTAGTAGAATGTCCTCGATAAAATATGACGCTCATGGGAAACAGTTTAACGGATCTTTATTAAAATCTTCCAATAAGAAAAACATCTGTTATTATCGGTGCAACCATGTTTCATACTATAATCAAATGATTGGACAAAAAATATGAGCTTGATAAAATTTTCATTACCTAATCTATTTTTATAAATAGTTTATTTTACACTCTAAATAAAAATGTCAGTTTGTGTACTATAGAAATTAAATGAAGTTTGTAAATAAAGTAAAAATACTAGCAAAATTGAATACAAATTCTTTGTTTTTCATTTACCAGTAAAAACTCGATATATTTTTAAATATTCAACGGCATATGGGTTCAAAACGAATCACGTGCGTCCGCAAATTTGGATCATTCTGTTTTCAACATATATTGTACTCGACAATAAAGATTCGTTTTCGACTAGTTGTATGTGGTTTTAACAAAATCATCCCTGTCCCTTTGTATTGTGAACAATTGTTTTATTACTTAAATAGATCAAATGAAAATTAACTTTCCATTTGTATGATATATTATGGGGGACAGTACTTAAGCTCCCATTCTGCTTCTACATTTTGTATAGTTGCCGTCAAGACAGTATTTCTGTTGTATATGGAAATTGTGTAAAATGAATGCCTGAAAGCGACATTAAAATCTGCTTAAGCCAAAATCATGCATTATATAATCATGCAGCAACCAGGCAAAAAGCTGCTTTTGCACATAAAATATATTCTGATTTAAATATTACCAATTCCTATTACTGCAATATTATTTTTCTATAACGTACATTTAAAATGCATTAAATCCTGCGCCAAGATTGTGATTAAAATCCACAATCTAGAGCAACGAAGCCAAAGGGAGACTCCTTTTAGCTTTAAAGACTATAAATATTTTAAAGCAGAACAATTTATGTGCGTAAAGCTGTTTCAACTAGAAGGGAGAGTACAAACTACTAAAAAATAATGAACTCTATTAAATGGCTGACTCTACTAAATGATTTGAAGCTTTTTAAATAAATTTCTTGCTTAATTATAAATTTAATAAAAAGCTTAAAGCGTGTTATTATGAGGTCACAGTTTCTTCGTCAACTGTTTACTAGAGTTCGATGCAAGAAGCCATATAAAAACCAAACTTACAAAGTGCTGGATGCAAGATTAGTGTCTTCGTGTTTTAGCTGACCGTCTAGGGCTAAACCCCATTTATCCTTATTGTTGGCCAACAATGGAGTCAGGGTGAACACTTTGCTCAGTGTGAAGCCGGGGCCAATAGGGCAACCCTCTCTACGCAAGAAATGGAAAGAACACACGAGAAACACACTTTAGTTATACTTCAAAACAATTCAAGCTAAAATTAATTCCCAGTTTTAGTTTGTCGATCACCGTCTCTCTTATTATTGTCATGGTTTATATATATGTAGGTCGATTGCGGGGTACTAAAACTTGAAATTATCATGCAAATTTCACACGGGGTTACCAATTTCTAGCAACAAAAATGCAATCGGGAGGCAATCCGTTTAAAAGTGAAAATTGCCAAACTGCAACTCACATTGTTGAGGAAGCTAGATTGGTATCTTCGTGTTTAAGTTGACCATCGAGGGCCAAACCTCTTTTATCCTTATTGTTGGCCAAAAGTGGCCGTACGGTGAACACTTTATTCAAAGTGTAACCTTGAGGTATCGGACAACCTGTACTATAAAATTACAATATTTTTAAATTTACATTGAAAAACTAAAATTACAGATCTTTTATTTTAGCGTTAATTTAGCTCCGACATTTCTCCTACGTTAAACTGTTTTTCTTAGAAAGTAAAACCGGCCGGTAAATATGTAAATTTGAACACAATTAAACCATTTGGACTGGGTGACGAGTATTAAACACGATATTAAAAAGATACTTACTCGCTTTCAGTTTCAGCGACAGTGCATTTGTATTGAGCAGTAGAAAATAGGCAAATATCAGCGAATTGCCTAACGGACACTTTGATCTTTTTGACTGTGCGGTTCGAGTTGTTCGCTATGTGTACGTTAACGGCTATGTTTTCACCATGATGATAAAGTTCCTTGTCTAACGAAGCTTCTAAGTATAATTTATTAGGGCTCATCATAAACTCTTTGCTTACTTCTACTGAAGGTTGTTCCCCTTGTTTGCTTGGGGCATACATGATCTTCCGAATAGCCAATCTGAAACAAAAACTACATTGTTTCATTTTTAAGAGAATGCTTTCAAATTGTTAAATAATCTCCCAAGAACAATCTTCAAAATTGAAACTTTGGCTTTCAAAAAATAATTTATTACTTTTCTACATCATTCACGACTCTATATACAAAATACAGCGTGGGCAAACGAATACACCGCTGAGATTCGTAGATTCTATTTTTCACAATTTTTCAGGTACATTTTTGTGGGATTAAAGATACTACTTAAGATATGAAATATTTTTCATATACTGGTGAGTTTTTCGAGACCTTAGGCCCTCGTAAAATTTTTTTTCTTCTTGACGTTTTGCAAACACGAGTGCCTTGCATGTTCAAAGGAACACTCACTCACTTTCAAGCAATACTTAACTCATTCATCATAGATTTTTCATATAGCATATCCGGTTTCGATCTTCAGTTTTTTTCTAGATATAACAATTTAAACAAAATTACGGCTATTTTCATTAAATTAATGAGTAGGCAATAAAATGCCGAAAAATAAATATAATTACCTTTAGTATATGATTGATGATGAATGACAGCATCGAAAATTGCTATTAAGAAAAGTTGATAGAAATAGAAAACTACGTCCAGGTATACAATTTTATGGAAGAAAATAAAAATTCATGTTTTCTGAAAAACCCTCGGATTGGACTGAAAAAATCTGATAATTGTATTTTAGATTTTACAACATGCAGAACTTTTTATGAAGAATAACTTTTTTCTTAAAATTGATAATAATCAACTTAAAAATAACAAAACTTGATGCTTATCATAGGTGCAATTAGATATCTGAACGTACTTTTCAACCCTATTCAACTTTTCTTAATAACAATTTTTGATATTGCCAAAAATAATAATTAGGACCTGTGTATAAAAATGAATATCTGAAAGATGCATTTGCGGTTTTGGACCAAGCAGAACTTTTTATGAACAATAACATTTTTCGTAAAATTAAAATAAAAATAGTATCGTTCAGTTTGTGACATATCAAAAACAGCTGAAGATCGAAGTAAGATATGTAAGATGAAAAATATTCAAAATCTAAAGAAAAGTTCTAAATTTGGGGAATTTCATTTTAAAATTTAAACTTGACCGCCGTCATTTCTGGAGCATTCCTTTAATGTTACTAGCTTCTGGAGCATTCCTTTAATGTTACTAATTGACAAAATTTATAAACAAATAAAATCGAGAACCAGTGTTTTTCGAAAATATACGTGGCTGTTCCATTATTTTTGTACATGCAGCATTAGGGCTAGCGAAATGTAAGCACCAAATGTCTACAGACCTTACACGGCCATATAATGAAAAAACCAGCGGTGACCGCGAATGCTTTAACCATTTCAGTGTAGCATCGTTTCTTCCCATCATTTGGTTAGTTACGTTTAGTTTTTCAGCAAGCAAATCAATTTAAATTTACTGCTATATATCCCACAATAAAAAAAATCAACAGTTTAAAGAACAAAAAAAACTTTTCTGCGGAAATAAATATGAAAAGTATGAGCTCCCAGCTTCAAATCATAATAAGTCGGCAAACTTTTTAATACCTATCCATCAATTATGCGAAATTTATTGCTATCATTTGCTTCCATTACTGCTGGGTTTGTTTCAATATTGACAAGGAAAATAAATTTCGAAGAGAAAATTAATCTGTATTCTCCGGCTTCAACATGAAATTAAAATAAATCAAATGGGCACTATTCACTCGAACTTGTGCTATAGTTTCCCGGGTTACAGTTTGGTTCGATACAGACAACTTTGACGATAGGAACTTTGCAATTTCACCTGAAATTGCGTAAATTACTGTGACCTGAACTGTTAATTGCTCTGTAATATATTGCCGTATCAACAGCACTAATTTTCAAATTGAATTTTAGAGGAGGGAGCGGTGACTATTTTATGTAGAGCATGACAACACTTGATTAAATGTACCTGACCCAAGAACAAAATGGGTTTTTACCTGACGGAATTTCTTTTATGCGGTTTATCATCTTGGGTTTCCCCAACAAATGCTTTGAGTTCATAATCAACCCCACAAGGTTTTCCAGTATCGCCTGGTGCCGGCTGAAGAGTGACAGAGGCTGGACAATGTGGAGGCAACTCAAAGTAAAACGGATATGCGTGTGCGCCTAATTTCTTGATAAGTCGTTCCTGCGAATTACAAGAATATTTATAAAATTTATAACAATTATAAGCAACTAAATAAAGCAATTGAAACGAGTAAGGAATAAGTTCAGACGTTTTAATACAACTGTTCGTTAACAAAAAATGACCAGAAGGTTTATGATACTTCGAAAGCATGCCATTTATTACGGTCAGTCGTTTCAGCGTTTCCAGTTTCTGAATATTTATTATATGTACTGATTTGCTATGTCGCACTGAAATGTTTAAGCAAAAAAATGCTGATGCAGAGAATTTTTGCAAAAATACGGGGATGCCGTAGACAATTTAGAACGCAGCATTGTGTATTAAAATGCAAACTAAGCAAATTGCAAGTTCCCTATTAAGCGCAAAATGTTCTTTGAATGTTGATTTTTGTGTTATTGGAAAGACGTTCCCAGATAAATATTTGTCCTAACCTTATATTTAAAATTTGTTTTTTTTATTGATTACTCGACATATGAAATGCTAATTCTTCGTACACTTTAGAGACTACTACGTAGTTTGAAGTTAATCCTAAAGTATTTTTCGTAGTTGCTCGACAGACAGATGAAAGAGTGTGCCGTTTTCGATATCAATCAAGTGATTTAATTCAATTAATATATTAATGTAGTACAGAAAATTGCTTAAGATGACTTTGATGGCTAAAATGTGTAACTTTTATCAGAAGACCGTACATTTTGATATTATATGCAAAATATCTGAAAAATTCTGGAGCTTAATAAACCCTTCGGAAAAAGGTACGACTTATCTCCAAATAACTTCTTGAGATTTTTTTAAAGATTCAGTTACAATATGTTTAACTCTGGCTTCACCTAAGTAATTTGTTTCGAACTTTCACCTGATTCAACTTGTTTTTTTTTTGGAAGACTCGAATATCAATAATTTTTTTTTGCTTAAACCTCACAAAAAATTACGCAGAAAACTGGGTATTTCGGGCTGTTAGGCCGTCGTGGCACAGAATCTCTTCCAGACGTTCCAAAAGCACGAATAGTTTGCACCTTGAGGGTGCAAGCCACTCATGCTTGTGATACGCTAGGAAGAAATTTTTTTCTGCGACAATTTAAAAGCCCGAAACTTATTTTCTGTTTTACGTGTGCTTTATTATTTTTTTATTTTCCGTCTATAACAATTTAGTTTTTTTTTTGTTGATACCATGATTACGCCTTTAAAAAAGTACACATACTTGCAGTCTTGTAAGTTGCCTCGCATTGGGAGTAGCGCCATCTTGAGGATATATTTGCTCAGAAGCTAAGTACAAATCCTTTCGGAATGTGAGGCCCAAAACGTCCAAGTCTTCTCTTCCATACCGAAAGGCAGCCAAGACATGGCCAAATACTTTTCTGTCTTTGACATATTCAGGATCGATAAGAACTACACCATCTAAAACAAATCAGTATATCAATATGGCATCAACGACGATTTTCTTGTATTATTATAAGTAAATGATGAATCTTGCAAGTTTTTTATAGAAATTTTCTTACCTATCGGATCCACATTTGATATATGATCCACAAAATCCCTTTTTCCTAAATACACTGTTATCTGTAACAAAAGAAATACTTTATAAGATACGTTTGTATGCCTGTTGTAAAGACGCAAATCCGAAAAGCGTCATAATATTTTCTTAAGCTTATAATAGGCTTATGTCTCTTATTATTTATTAGAATGTCACTTCACATCTTATAAAAGGATCATGTTTTCTTGGTTAACAAATTGAAGACACGGTGGGAAACAAGCTGGAACAAATTAAGTAACACCTCGGAGATAATATGTTATGCATAATTTAACTAAGCTAAATATGGAAGGGTCTATCTGATGCGTTGTTAAGGCTACAATGTGTTGGTTGACATCAAAATAATGCGTCTCCGTTCTTAACAATTCTAATAATAACTTCCGAATGCCATTATTTTATTTTGCCTAGACAGAGGACCATAAAATAAAATACAATGTTTACCCATAAATAATTTCATTATTACTTTTGCTTTTGTTTGGACAATGTCTCCAACTATTCATGCGTTTTTTTGAATGAAACCACTAAGTAATAACATGTATTCCTGCTAATGCAAACAGGCTACTTGCATTTTTTTAATGTCCCCATCTTAATATCGATTTTTTATTCCTTGGTAATATCAAAGTGAAATTCCGAATTTATGCCATTGACTTTGACCAATAAACAATTATGTTTGCTCATGTCCTCTTCTTCGATTCCTTCATACCATCAGAAAGAGTTCTAATGTTGTATTAAAAATGCACACTTTTCTACGTTCAATTTTATAACTGGAACCATTAGAAGTTGCTATTGTCGTTGAAAATGAATGCGAATTTTTTAAAGCGACGCGTTATTGAAGCATCAAACTATTAGCAACAATCAAATTAATTTTATGCACAGACAAGAGTTTAATCAACGTGCGGGCGTCGAAATATCAATTTCACCGTTCCCATGTGTGTTGAAACTGATATAACTGCACTATTAAAAAACACACAAAATGTCTAAAATCATTGATCAAAAACCCAACGGCTCTTCATTCAGGCAATTCAGGCTTAATAACGTCGTTCAAGTGCTCCAATCAGGATCAATGATTGTCAAAGATCATTGATTACACGGAAACTACCAATAGACCGGCAACCCTCAATTGGAATTTCAACACCACAGTTCATTGAGCATTACTCTAAATCATTGAGGAGAAATGTTTGTTGCTCGTCCTGAAAATTTAATGAAAAGGATTGACGAATACCGTTATCTGGTCCTCAATTACAAAATCCTGATTTCGGTGGTTATCGGTAGAAATGTAGGCGGCGAATCGTGGGAAGAACCTAAATTTAAATTTAACTGGCGAAGAAACATTAGCTAATGGCAGCACGTGGATCAGGTGATATGTAGTTAGGAGGAATTTATTTCAGAAAGTGACTTTATTTCAAAATAACACAAGCGATGAGATGCTTTAACCATTCAATTAAATTTCAGTTAGATTTAACTTCAGGATCCTTAAAGCTTTGATCAGTAATTGTACGACTATTTCCTAAAAGCGGAATATGGTTTCGAAGTAGAAAAAGGTTAATTCTACTTTATTTATTAGATACTTTCTATAATGAAACCAATTCAAAACAATGTTATGAATAATGTAAAAAATATAGCCTATTAATTGAACGCCGCATACTTAATTGAATTGAATTAATTGAACGCCGACAGGAAAAAATATCTAATCAATATGTACAAAATACGTACTGTTAAATGAAAAAAAAAACGGATATTATGTTCTTCGGAAACTTTCAGGTTGTGATTATTCTTTTGAAACCTTTTCAGTCTTTAGTAGTCTCATGATAATTATAACGCTAAACTAAGAAAGGAACCACCAATCTCCAATTTCGGGCTTTTATTTACTCTGTGAATTTAATGTTCAGCCAAAATAGTGTGCCGTAAACCGAATCAAACAACTCAATTTATTTGGCACCAATACGTAATTGCTATTTGCTTGTAAAATAAAGCCTTGCTTGGTGTATCCAGAATGACTAATTATTTCATACTTATACACAGATTAGGATTATCTAGTTTTCCTCAGACTTATATAGACATTCGTGCTATTCATATCCCCAAGCGCCTTGTTAAACTTTATGCGCATTGCCGCTTATTTACTCACAATATGCACCGACCGAGCTTTTCTTTTAATACAAAATACAATCGGATCTGAAAGTTAGCTAGGAAATTTTATTAAAATAACTTAAGGCCGCAGTGACAATAGGAAAGTTATTTAAATAAACAAATTTGATAATGCCCACAAAACAATTTCGAAATCACATTTCTAACTCTGTTAGCACGCTATATTTTCAGCATTAATTTAATCACGAAATGTCCAATAACACACATTAGAAAAAAATTGAATTTTCTTAAATATACAGGGTATTTTTTTAAATCGTATGTAAAAACGAAATGGGGTGGTACTTTAGCTTTTTCATTTAGAGTTTAAATTAATTTAAACATAGTTGCGAACTATTTCGAAAGTTGCCAAAGTTTTGTGTTATACATTTTTAATACAATTTTAGCTCAAGCTGGGAGCGGTTCCGCCGTGGCTTTACATACATATTTGTTGTTGTTTTCAAAACATGTTTCTCTTCTGAATTAATTGGACTGTTTTAATTTCGATAGCAAATTAAAAACACGATTTTCTGTAAGTCGCCAAATAAATGCGAAGCTTTTAAAACGGTTCAGAAAAATACGATTTATCATGGAATTTATTTATTTTGGATAGTTTAAATTTGAAATCGTAGTAGAATTATTCGTTCTTATTTTAAATTCGGGCGAATTATGTTAGTTTTTCCGAAAAATATTACAATACAGTTCTCATTGCCATAATGAGATCTTCGATTAGGCTATCATTTATTATTCTGTTTGCGATGGAATGCACAAAAGAATAGTAACAAGTACCGAAGACCCGAAAGGAAAAAACCAAACCGCAAAAATACAGTAACGATATCTTCTACTAAAGCCGAATGCCATTTAACACTCCGTATTATGACAAGTATTAATGAAGTATTTTGCCTACTTTAAATCTTTGTTTGTTCAGTATTTTGTATATTAATGAGTTTAATATCGATTATCACAATTAATTAGTGTTAGACGGAGTGATTGAGCGAGCAACATTTTAATGTATTTCGACGTTTGTTTAGAATCAGTCAGATTTTCCATCAAATATCAACAGTTTATATGACTACTGCCCTTTTTTCGCGTACGGGCTTTGGAACCCTCTTTCATTCTGGATATAAGATTATTAATATCACTTAATTCGGACATACGGGTTATTAACTAATGTTGAAAGCAGTACAATAACTATATTAATTTATTAAAAGGCTATAAAAGAAGAGAAGTTGTATATGATTGTGTAATAAGTATATTTATAACATTTTACTAGAATTTGGCTAGAATTTTACAGGCAACAAATAAAAAGGATTTCATCTTGTGAAGATGTTCTACCTAATGCAGTCACGCGGACTTCTTTCAAAAATCTTCAAGAATTCATTGAATATATAGGGAATAGTATAGGAATGAGTAGAACAGACGAGGACACAATAGAACAGAAATGACCGCATCAATTTCTATAACAGAAATTCCAGAACCCCAGATCTGGACGATGCATAAGAGATCATTTTCCAAACCTAATCGAGAACAAAAAAAGGCTATGAAAGTCCAAATAAATACACAAAACTGAAATTAATTAGAATATTTTTAATTTCAACGAACTGGTTTCATCATAGTGCTTTTAAAAAAATCATTAGACTATATTACTAAACCAAATAAAAATATACGAAATCAAACAGCTGTTTAAAAGATAGACAGATTAGATACATTTAAAAAAAATGATCAACCGAGGGCTTTTTAATTAAATATGGATTTAAAATATGTATATATATATTCAATAATACTGTCGTGTTTCTGCAAAGCGGTTTAATTTAATTCGCCACTAACACAACCAATACATTTGAACTCTAAAAAAAACCAACAGCCCCTAAAGGGGACCCTGTTACTGTTGGTATTCAATAGGAAAATACGAACATAAAAATAGAATCACATGTTGACTTATGTGAAATCTGATACATAATTGTTCAAACATTTGTATGATTCCACGGGCCGTAAAATAAGTTTAGTAAAATATTTTAGAGGCAATTTTTTACTTGTTCCCGACATGAGTATAATGATAATACTGAAGCATTTGCTTTTTTATGTGTGTTAAAATTTATTTTGAAGCATCAATTTTCCAATTACTGTCAAGTGTTAACACCGTTCACGAATACTAAACGTATAATTTTGTCGGAACACTGAAAACATGCTGACACACATTAGCAATCGATTAAAGTTCATTTGTTTACTAAAGGACAAAGTGATTTCTACTCTGTATTTCAGTTAAGTGAAAGGAACAAAATTGAAAATTTACATGTATATTTCGTGGAAGCTATAATAAATTTTCGGCAAGGAAAAATGAAGATATTCTATTAAAATTTAAAGTTTTTAAGTTCGACCAGCTTATATTCCCAAATTTTGATACAAACAACCAACTTTTTTTCAAACAGCTTGAACTTTATGTAAGTTTTATTAAACATGAAAACGTGACGTATTTTGATGCAAAAATAAATGTAATTTTAAGCATGAGTTTATCTAAACGAACGAACAGGCGTTAAGAAAATATTAAAAAAATTAAATTTACGCCACTGAATTTAACTCAGAGGGTTCATCGAAACCCCTGATTCTCACTTTTGCATGATTGCACGAAATTTGAAATACTTAGTAAACTATTCAGAAATTGATGAAGGCAATTTTAAATTGAAAACTAATTTTTCGATGAGCTCAGATTGTTAAGGTTTGATCGGATTAGTTAAGTGGATTTTCAATTAATTACAAAAACAAGAGTTCAAAGCCCAATATTTAACGTTGTTGATCTCTTCATTTCGGCAAAGTTGAGTTGTGGGCCCCTAACTCAATAAAAGTGTAGTTAGCTTGCCAGAGGATTATAAACTTTTAATTAAAATTATGAAAAATGAATCCACTAAAGCTGTGTTTCAAATTTATTCACTCTTTAACTAACATTGGTAATATAGAAGATCACATTGTCGTAAAGTTGTACGTTTGCAATGCAGCAAAAACAGTAGTTTGAACTAATTTAATTCCTACAAAACGTATTATTTTCGAACAGGAAAAGCTAATTATATGAATATAAAGTACAGCACGGCCATAATAATATATATTCCATAGTGTGAACCATACAGGAGCGGCAATATAAATGATAACATGTCAGTGAAATTTGTCAAAATAGTTGTTTGTACAATTAGCACATTTGGTGTATTTCCACCCAGTGACTCAGAACTATGAGATAAAACTCCTAGGGATTCAGTACAACAGTAAGAATTCCTATGCTCGGAAATATATCCCTATTGCTTATGACGCTTTGAGACCTTTTTGTGCAAAACTGTGTTTTATCCTTAAATGTATTTTATTTTAATTTGTCTGTTCGCAATAACACATCTAGGATCTGTTGAAAATGTCGTTTGAACTTGAACACACTTGTTCAAACATAGTACATGGTTTGTGCGGACTCCACTGAAAATTTGATAGTCATTTTGACCGACTTCAAATTTTAAATGCCGCAGTAATTCTTGCAATCAGGTCTTGCTCTGGTTTCAGTGGCGTAAACCAGACACTTTACGTGTCACCACAAAAAAATCCCAATATGTTAAATCGGGTGGCCTGGCGGTCCACGCAACTGGACCTATGCCGACCCAATGTTGGTCAAAGTGCCGGTCCAAATACTGACAGACATCAACTCATACATTGGATATGCACCATTTTTTTCGTTGTTTTCTGAACGTTTTGGCAGGACATCTTGCAGAAAACGACCGCTGATAAGTCCTGTTAAACGATTAGGTAGCAGAGAGCCAACCAAATGGTCATTAACAAGCTGAAAACTATAATACGAAATTTTCGCGCGTACTTTTTCTTCGTACCAAACATACTTATTCGTATTGCTGAATATGCCATCTCAGGTAAAACTGGCTTCCCCGTCCATTAAACCAAAACATAAAAAATTGCGTTACTCAACAATATGATCTCTGAGAAAATGAGATTGATGAACAGATGAGCCTCTGAGAAAGTTGAATTCTTGGTTTGAAATCGTCTGGAGTCAAATATTCAAATGCTTCTAAATGGTATGGACATAGATCTACTAATCTCTGGTATGCATGTGCGGGCACACTCAAATTTTGTGCAATTTGACGAGTGCTATCGGAAGCTTCATTTGCAACTCGGTTAAGACTGTTTGCAGGAGCGGATCCAGCTTTCCAGTCAGGGGGGGCTCAAGTAGTAGAGATTCAGTCTTTTGTTGTCCATGAAATTAGAAAAACTCTGTTAGTCGTTAAAAACCCAGCACAAAGGGGGNCCCCCCTGGATCCGCCCTTGACTGGTTGTGCCAGGTAGGCTTCAAAGTAAATTCGGAAAATCACCGATGAATCGTAATACACCTTTTATTCCCCAATGTCTTGCGGGATATCGTTCTTGGATAAAATGTGTAGCTTTCACTTTTTTTATTTCATGGGGACGAAACGTCTTACGCAAACATTTTCGGGTGTAGATTCTTATACTCAAATGCCTTTGGTTGTTGCAGTGAACAATCTCTAACAGTTTGATGCCATAGTTCTGAATCACTCAGTATATGCATCAAGTGTTCATGTTTTTCAAGAGATTTGTCACAATTACTTTACATGTTATTACATTATACTGCGTTTAGTCTTCGAACTTTGAAACGCTGTCGCGAACTTTGCAGAGTCATTATGACGAAACTAGGTGTCAAAAATTCAATTTAAAAAGATAGTTTTGCCTAAAAAACAGAAAAAAATATTCTTTCCTGATGTGATAAAATTAAGAGGCATTTGCCATTGCAACACACAATATGTTGTTAAGACCCATTGACTTTTGTATCCCTATAAAGATTAAACTTTTGACTCAAAACCATTATTTTTCATCAACAGGTGTGCACTTACCTTTCCGTTTGGAGAACTCTTCTTGAAAACCCTGTAACAAAATAAATCCAATGAATCCGTAAATTTTACAGTTAAATAACAACGAATGTAACCATCAACGTTCCACCGTTCTTAAAAAGCGCCCTTCTTCGAAAAATAAATAATTTATTCCATTTAAAATCTCTCTATACGTCTAAGCTACAAAGGGTTCTGTTGCCATTCGAATGATTGCTCTAAATCCCATTTCGAACCTAACAAAATATTCAGGCATCATTTTCTGCTAAAAAAATTGCCTTAGGGACTTCTAGTTTATTTACGTTACACTTCCATCACCGTATGTCCCTTTTATTTCCGCAGTGGAATATTTGCACAATAAACAAAATTAATAAATGCCTCTAATTAAGTTATTTGCTTACCAGTAAAGGGATCACGAATAAGTGTCCTAAATCGTAAATTCATACAACACGGCAATTTAATTATGTACTTTCCGTGTCAAGATACCTCACTCAGGAAGGGTGTATTTGTCTTATTTAGGATCCGGTAGCTGAATAGAAAATTTTTGGGTGAACCGACAGCGTAGAATGAACTCTAAATTACAAGACAACTCATTTATTGATAATTATGTAGTTCTATCCAGTATCGTACTAACTTTTATCGATTACATCTTTATCAAATAAATCGTCCTTTATCGCTAATAATTCAACGGACGGCGGTAACTTCAGCAAAATTTAATATGTACAGTGGATTTTTAGCATAAAGGACAAATGTATAAAACATTTTCTAATGCGTTCCCTTGAAGAGTTATAAATTTCTAACTACTAAAACATAAAAAGTATGATAATACACACATGTGAGGACACTTAAAACAATTATTTTACTCTGTTACGCAAATTAATAGCAATTATAATTATGTGCAATAAATTCAGAACGCAATAGTTACGTACAAGTTGACCATGCACTTGTATTGTTTTATTGTTTTTTCAAACCTCTCATACAATCTACTTTACAGTGTACTAACCAACAGTTTAGTTGTTTAAAAACAAATAGTTTAATGGTAAAATTTCTATTACATAACATGGAACCTGGCATGTTATCAGTTCTTGATAATTATTCTATTGTAAATTTTGGTCCTCAAGCTACCAAACACTCCATCTAGATCTACTGATGCTTTTACATTCACAATAAAGACAATTTGAGTATTGCAAAACTTTTTCAATCATCTCCAACAATTTTGCGTTCTTAGCATAATGGAATGTAAATGTAAAGATGCGGTCTGGTTGTTGGCGCAATGATGTAATGATCTATAAAAACAGAATTTTTCTTTCTGCTTATTATGTTTTACTTAGATTTTGAAATATAGAAAGGCGGCAAGGATGGATATTTAGAAAAGCGTTTTTGATAAAAAAAAGGCCTCCAAGAAGCAATACGATGTTATCGACATTGAATGCTATACTTATAGCGGAATCGATAGTCTTTTCAAAAGGGCAGAACGTATAAGAACGATCAAGTGTTACTGGAAAATTGGAAATGTTCCATTGTAAACAACAATTGTCATATATCTTGGTTTAATGGTAAATTAGTAATTTTTCACGCGAAATACTTAACATTTCATGAATGTTTAATTCTTACACATTGAGAAACAATGAAACTTTCGGCATAATCCGAGCCGTCAAAAATTGTTGATGTAAGTAGGTACAGATTTCGAGCTGTGCTAATCTCCCTCTAAACTCATCTCATATATACCCTTAAAATCGGATTCGAGGCTATTGGCTCTATTCAACTGGGTTTAGCCTGAAAATAACACTCTCTGAAACTCTGTATTTTCTTTCACCCATGTATTTTACATTCGTGCCAATGTTTCAACAGCAAACCAGATTTAATGCTGAAATTCTTTCAAATTTTGTTTCAAGCCAAGTCTCAGCCCTTCCCAGAACCGATTTCGAGCCGAGATTATTAGCTATCATCAGCAGGACTTGCGATGTAACATACATGAGTAAATTTGCAAAGATTTCGGGAAAATAAATTCAGCATTAAATCCGCTCTGTTTTTGAAAAATTAAGTCTGGTCTCGCATTTGATTTTGACTTACGATAGTTACATTTAATTAATTGACGACTTTCTGGAAGCGATAATTTCAGGAAAATCCTATGAAAAACAAAAACTGTACTTCACAACCGGAATTTCTCTCGTTTTATTACCCAGGGAACATGCATTGTATTCTGGATTTTCACTTTTATCGCCGCCGGACGTACCGGAGACACCCCATTCTGCTTTTGGCAAAAAGCAAATATTTTTGCCATTCTATACAATTTTACGAGAAGTGTTGCATCGCACTTCACATGATAACTGAACAAATATTTTTCATCTGCTTTTCGGAATTTTATGAAAAGCTGTGATATGATATCGTTCGCTGATATGACTGACTGCTTAAATTATCGCCAACAAAAGCAAAATAAAACGTTTCAGTTACTGAATTCAAATAATCCCATTCTTGGACATCCCAACTATTCTATGGCACTAACTCGAAAGTAGTGAAACGAAAGTTTCGATATCTGGCAGTGAATCATAAATCGATTTAAATCCAAAGCAAAAGAGCTACCAGTCAACGTTTATATCAAAATGTAATTGATGTGATAAACCCTAAGCAGTTGTAAATTACGAAAAATACTTAATAAAAAACATTCCGTATTCGCATTTGAAAATGAAGCAATATAAAATGTTCAACGTCTTCACCAATCGATATGCGATTAGGAATTCAAATTTGTTCTGATTTCTATAGCAAATTGCTAACGGAGAGTTGAGTATCCCGTTTATTCCGACATAATATAAAATCGGATATTCCGGATCCATTATTTTGAAGCTTTTTACAAACAATGATATCTCGGAGAAACAACCTTCCTTTAAACGGGATAAGTTACATTTATCAGCCAAAAAACAATCGTTCCCGATAACTCCAAAGTACACATGCCCTAAAAATCTACAATTCACCACGTGTAGGCAGTATTATGTTATTTTTAAACAAATATTTTGATGGATACATACTGAGAGTTTTTGCCTGACGTGTAATTCAATGACGCCCAAAGCAATCATATTTATATGAATTGTTGTGGAAGCAATTTACCAGACTGAACAAAAATATGAAATACAATCAGACATATCACCTTTCACAATTTCCACCTACTTTTACTCACAAAAAAATTGCTAAACATTTTCATCATCAAACCCAAAAAACGCGTCCTACGTTTCTATAATCATATCAAGATTGAAACCTTAGCAAATTCAAATAATATTGGCCTTTTTAGGTGTAGTATTGATTCTCTGGTGTAAACGCAAAAATTCCTGTGAAAAAAACCCTGTAGTACCTACCTACATCTCGAAAAATATTGGCATTTTTAGAGAACTAAAGCCGCAAAACTTCAGATTTCACTATTCCGTGAGTTTTGATCTTATTGTCATAAAATCTTAGAAATCCTTTTAAAATTTAGACTACAAATTTAATTTGACAATTAACAACCCACATGTTAAGGGCAATTAAGAAAAACTACATGTTTTACTATTTTTCAGTGAAAAAGTAAACTGATTGAAGACGTTTTGCTTACATATACGGCGAGCATTTTCAGGTTCAATGTGACATTTCAGTCAAATTGATACCCTGCATTTTAATTATGTATCAAGAATGTAAATAGCGAGTTTCGGCCTTTCAGAGCTTAAATCATATGAAGCAAACAACAGGCACAATTCTAGAAGCTACAAGACGAACTATAAAGGTAGGACTTTGAAAATATATAATCGAATTAAAGTATTTAATAGATTTCTTGAACTCGTAGCAGAAGGTTTAAAATAATCAAATGCCTGGTAAATGTAATTTCTAAACAGATTTTGTTAAAATGTAATTCCCGTATCAGTTGAATTTTAAGCACTTTGGACTGGATTAATTACGAATGTCACTCCATTTAATTACTTTGAGCTGGAATTGGCTAAATGCGAAGTGAAAAATGCACAAAGTAACGAGAGTATATCAAGTGCAGTATTGATTTTGCACAAAAGTGGTAACTACATCAATGTACAAGCCATAATTTAATCACAAATAGTTTCCAGCTGTTATTGTGGATCGCCAACCCTTGTACACAACCTGCAATATCTATTTCATAGCAGTTTCGATAAATAAAATCATAATGTTCAGCTTAAAATATAATTTTCTATTATTTGTTCGCCCCACTGACGCAGGTTGTATAAATTCGTTTATTGTAGAACTTGAAAAAATAAATCGTCTTCTACTCAAAGCTGGGTGATACATGAATATTCGATTTTAGAATCGTGCTTTATGTAGAAAGCAACAGTAAAATAGGTTCAATTGTCTTGCTTATCGAGTTTCCTTCTGGATTGAGAAGATTGATTTGGCATTCTGGAGGATAGACAAGCGTTAACAAGTTGGCGAGATCAATTTTGATTAGACCGTAAATAATTATTTCATTTTATTTATAATTTCTAATTCAACACATATTCCAATGATTGGAACAATTTGTGTACTTTAATACCCATTTATTGCGTTGGGAAATTGCGTAAAGGAAATATAGCAAATTATAATGAGCCAGATCTTGAATAAGAATGGAATTTGATAATAAGCGCCCGGTTTCGACATTTTCAATTTTAATAAATGTAGACTGGCATCCTGAAGCAAACATTTTTTGTTAAATATTTCCGAATATATCAAGTTACAATATTAAAGAGAATGAAAAGTGAGCTCAAAGGGGCTGTTATATTTATACCTTTTATTGTTGAAGTCTGTATTTTCCGATTTAATTTTAAATTGATTTATATAGAAGAGATATAATTCGGGGGGAACAATAAACGAGTGAAAGTCAACAAAAAAATATTTTACTGAAATATCACATAATATACCAAGATAAATACAAGTGTGCTAAAAAACCGGTTTTTTATTTACTACTGTGTACTTAGTGCTACTGTTCTTAAACTGCTGTTTCAAATGTTAAAAATTAACTTCAAAGAGTTTATCACAATAATATTGGAATTGTTCTTTTCTAAATATGGCTACAATAGCCACAATTAGAAGTATTATGAATGTTGCTTTTTTTTTAATAATTTTATTCAGTATAATAAAAATAAAAATAAAATATGTCACTTTAGACAATAGGATCTCGAATCACAATTAAGCTATTAAATTAGTTACCGAATTCTGACTGACAACCATTTGTGTTGAGTGTTTTCTATATATTTAATCATTGGATAAATGTTTTTGTCACAGCTTATTCAGTTAATTTTTTTTAATTAATTAAAAACACATCTTTCCCAATTCACGTACTTCAATAATATAAAAAAAATAAACAACTGTTTCTGCGTTTTATAAAAATAATCTGTTACCTGAATAATTGATGTAATTTTCCTTAAAACAAAATAAACGATATCTCAAAAAGTGGTAAACTGCTTAACAAAAAGAACGTTACACAGCCAAATTTGCACTAACTTTGGAACAGGATAAATTCTTTAGGGCGATTTGGTTTCCATTTGAAGCGTTATTGAGCCCCCTTCGTTTGTTAGTCAATGTTTTGGTAAAAATTAAGCACATCAGGGAAATTTTCTACAAGGTGGCAAATGGAAAATGCAAAATTTCGGGATGCTCCTGGTTGAACAAAAAAAAGAGTTTTTTGGTTCTCATAACCAAAAGTTTAAATATAAACCAAATAGCTCGAAACTGTTTTTAAATTTTTAGACCATTCCTTCTATTTAGAGGGTGGTCTAAAAATCAAATTTTTGACCTTGCAGCGATCTTGAGCTCATGTTGAAGTTGAAACTTCGTAGACAATTTAAGATGCAAATTCGATATACAGGGTTGCATAAAAATTACTCAAATCAGAATTGCCCCCGAAATCTGTGATTCTGAAAGATTTTCAACTAAATGAAGTTTGCTTGCAAATATTTCGTTCATTCATATATAATATTTTTTTCCTCACGTCGACTGTGAAGATTTAGCTTCAACATGAGCCTTAGATTTTGGTAATCGGCTCAAAAGGAAAAAAATCACAGCAAGACAAAAAAGTTCATTGTTTGAGACCATTCTGTAAATAAACGAAATTTGCGAAAATTTCAAAAGCTTTTTTCGAGATGAGGTGTATTTTTTCCTTGCACTGGGACTTTTGCGAGATCTCCCAAAACGGTCTTTTAACATCAATTTCTTTCTGAGAATATTTTTTTCTGTTCTCCCAAAATAGCCCCAGGAAACACCTCTAAGTTTGAATCACCCTGCATATTGACGCGTTTTAAACTTTACATGCTGTTTTTTTCTTCTAATATACAATCAGGTCTTGCAATTTTACACATCCTTGCGCTTGTTGACTAAGTTAATATTATCTTGAAATAATTTTAATCTTAAAAAGTATGAACTTACCTTGTGGCTTGTCTTTTACTGCTAACGTCATCCATATCTGGGCTCGAGCAACTTGGAGCCAGAGTAGCTGTTCCTGTGTCTGATAGAGATGCTGACGAAGGCACTTGGTGCCCCTCCAGTCTGGCGAACTGCAATAAAAATCTTCAATTAGCATATTTATTTAAAACAAAATAAAATGCCTTTAAGTCAAGCATTTGCGAACGCCTTGATATGAGCGTTTGATGATTTTATAGCTCATACCGCTACTAACTGTATAACAATAGTTAAATCAAATAATTGGTTGCTCTCACTCCCTAATAGGTTTAATTGCATTGTTCATCGGAGATTAACGCGATTATGTTGCTGTTTGTAGCAACTAATTAATCCAATTCGATTTTCTGAATACACATCCGAGATTTAATATTCTGCTGCTCAATTTTCATGTATAAACTCTCATAATAGCAAGTAACTTGGCTGTAATGATAATTTGAGATTGGTGATTAAAATGGAATTAAATTCAAGAGCCTGAGTCTGTGACTTTAAGCGTAATATTTACTAAACATAGTTTAACGCAAATAAACAAGAAGATGGTATTTCAACTTAATCTCAAACTAAAGTAGCTAGTTTTTATTTGGCAAGAGTTATCACTATATGATGTTAGTAACCTTGGAATAATTTTGCCGTGTTCATATTCAGGCATACGTATAATTAAAACTTCTTGATGTTGAGCGCAATTAGTAATTTCCTGAGACTCATTTAATATAAAACAGATCGTTAAACTTTTTTATCTACCTCACGTAATTTATATCAAAGCGAACCAGCAGGCGTTTTCGTCTTGCTGACTTCAAACATGAGTAACAAACTGGATAAATTCTTTTCAAACACTTAAGCCTTGGTATGGAAAAAGTTTTAACAAAGACACCTACAAGAAGTAAGATTCAAGACGAATGGGAAATACAACTTTTAATCCAACTTAATATAATAACTGCTTCACTTAGCTACAGAAAATCTGAGATATAAAGCGTCTAATATTGAAACAGAGAACATGTAGGAGCAATGAGGTGACAAAAATTCGTAATTCTAGAGCTGAAATAGAACAAAGGCGTATTTTATCAAAGCATCACGTTAATAGGGATTTACTTATTTTCTGTGTAGGTACGATCGTCGATTTATAAAATTAAATAAAAATAGCCAGTAGAGTAAAAAAAAATTCTTACAACTGATACTGATCATTAAGAAAGTATCTAAGTGTTGCCTCCGAGCTGATTGAAAAATAAGTCTTAGAAGTTGCAATAAGTTTTACCTTTACTAAATGCGGCTTTTTAATTGGGAGTTATTTTGTTGATTGGGTTTTATTCAATATTTTCAGATAATAACTACTGAACAAATTACATAGTTAATATTTTTATTGAGAATTTTGATGGACCAGATATAAAAGGTTTTTGGTCAAAATTCTTTATACAGGGTGTCCCACCGGAACCACTACAATTTATATATGACAAACTACAATAAGAAGAAATTTGAAAATTCAGATTGAGATTGAGTACACGGGAGACACTGGGGGCAAGCGATCTAAAATATTTTCAAGATGGCCGCACTTCCAATTATACAGGAAGTATGTATGAACTGTCAAAAATGTCAGTTGGCAGGCAAAGCAGGCATATTGTTCCCATAAGAAAATATCTGTCATTTAATTTCAGTTGCATTATTCCTTGAGAAAAATGACTTATTTTAATAGAATTTTGATAATATTTTAATATCAATAATCTCCCAATGTTACAAAATGAAATTAAAAAATCAATTTTTTCAAATGAAAACCCCCAATTTTGATCATTTTATCTTATTTAGTATTAAAAATAAGGGTAAGCTTGTGTGTGGTTGTCTATTTCAAAAGTGTTTGAATGAGTTTTCAAAATATTGTCACACTACTATATCACACTTGTAAGTACGCGAGACGTACAATTTGTTATTTCTCATCCATATATTTGAAAAAAAAAATGTTGAAGAGCCATTTCTATTTTTCTCTCCTGTGCACCCAGGAAATATCTAATTTATATACAAATATTCCACTTTCCCTTACTTGTCTTCTGGTCCTTCGCACGACATAATATTTTTTATGCCTAAGAAGTAAGTGCCCTATCCCTAAAAATGCAGCTTGGCAATCTTGCTAGAATATTCAAAAATTGAACTGCCAAGTTAATAGAATAATTCCGATAGTTCGAATTATTTGAATAATCCAATTACCAGTATACCGATATCAATCAGTAACTTAAATATTCAACTCAACATTTAAATACCTGTTCAATTTAAATCTTATTAAAATATATACATAAGCCATTATTTCTGTAGGATTGACTTTTCTCTAAGGGTGGGACTAGTGTTGATACAGAGTATTATTTAGCACTAATTAATAAGTATTAATAGGTATTTTTAGTACTACTAACTAAGAGTACAATTGAAATATATAGTTCACTCATGGATTTGAATTTGCTTGGCATTGCTAAAACATTGGTAATTCTTCTATAATTTCTGAAATTTTGCATTTAATGCTTTTCGAATAAAAACGTTCTTAGTGAGTTCTAGATTTTAGCATTGATTCAAATTTTCAATATTGCACACAAAGCCCAACGAATATAAAAATACGAATATCAAATTGGTTCCCAACTCACAGTGGCTTACAAAAAAATATGAAAGTTTGAAGTAACTTTCTGCAAGTTTAGCTCAATTTCCAATCGAATGTAACCCATTTTAACCTTCTGTCAAATATGTAAATTTACATTTAGGTGATATTTATTGGATGTTGAACAGAACAAGACTTCCTGGCTTTGGCATCAGTATTGAGGAGCAAATCTTCAAATCTATTACGTGGCAAATGAGGGTCGCTAGCTGTAAATTGCTTTCAGGAAATAGTTAGCTGAGGGGACTTAACCACGATGTTGATAAATTATTTCTTGTTTTATTGCTTAGCATAAGTGCCAAAATGACCACTACATCCATATGGATTAATAACAATCAATTAAGGCGCTGTTTATTTATTCGACGCCAACCCCACGTAATTTATGATTAGCCGCGTTTAGCCTTTGATCTGGTTTCATATACATAGTGTATATGCTTAATGAGATATATCATGCTGATTTCTGCTTGCATACATCTACTGTGTATTAAAGGGTATCAGTGGTAGCTGCCTATTTTAAGTGGCAGCTAAGAATTTCTTTTTTGGTGATTTAAAGAATGTTTACCATTTTTAGACATCATTCTATTTAGGAACAGAATATGTCAATTTATAAACTCACCTGAGGGAGAAATAATTTAATATTGTAGGATTTTGATATTTTAGTCAAAAGCTCTCAAAACCTGGTAGTAGGTACATTGTTCTTACGTTATTGTAATGATTTTTTTATTCTGCATAATATGTTATAAACTATATAGAATCTATGACCAAAATAAATAATCATTTTGATAAATAAATGCAATTAAACATTTTAGTAATATATTTAGATTCAATTGAAATTTTAAATAATCGAGGTATATAAATTAATTTGGATTTTAAGCAGCACAAAAGTTAAAAACTATAGTGAAGAGCACAATATATAAAATATGTTTTAACAAAGCAGTAAAACAATGTGGCGCCAAGAAAAACACTAAAAAGTGTAAGGCCATAAATCAATTTTTAATAAGCAAATCAATCAACATAAAATACCGTATTGTTATCTCTTCTGACTTTGATGGTGGGAAGGATTTTAACTTTCTTGAACACTTTTTTCATGGAAAAAACTTAGGTATTAGCCAGGAAGCATATTACTCGACAAGCACCGTGCGACGAAAAAGAAAACAAGAGCCGGCAATCAACAAGTAGTCTGCATGCCACAGGCGATGGACTGTACAGTGGAAAGCAATGCAGAGCCATTCTCAGCGGATATCCTTCCGAAAATTACTTTTGGCGCAAGTCTGTTATCGCTCATTTAGTGCAAGAGCTCATGCCGGGCACTGAACATTTTTTTTATATACCCAAAGCATAGTATTAATCGAGACGTTTTGCCGTATAAAAATGTATATCAAGGCAAATATTTTTCAATAAACGCTTGTCAGCAATTTTTACGAAAACGCGTTAATTTGCACATTTAACACAAGAAAACGTACGACCTACATTTAGTGACGTGCATGCACAAAAGTGTTCTCAGCAATTTCAAATAGAACAAGTATTTAAACTGGTTATACAATTACCTGCCCAAAAAGCGTTAAACTTATCAATTTTCACGCAAAAATGTGTCTAATTTATTTAAACCACAAATTTATGAAGCCTTTGGGATGACAAAAAAACATCTGCATACTGACTAAAAATTCATCATCCCTAGGGATAATTCCCCACGTGCTTGGGTGAAGAAATCTCATTCGAAATTTGTCGCATCAGAGGGTGTTTTTTCATGTCCGTTGCTTCAAATGTGATTTAAAACTCGTTACTCTGATACTGCTAAATCAAGTATTAGGCCTTTTCTATTAACTGAACGAGAACTCAAAGGATTATAAATTTAATTAAACCGGCTATTTTCGCAGCACATAACATGCAGTGTAGAATTTGTGCTAAATGCAATTAAATAGTTCCAGAAACGGCTTCACATACAATCTTGGACCCACCATGGTTATTTCATTAAAAATCGCTTTTTCAGGAAATCGCTTTTTCAGGAAATTGCTTTTTTACCTGTGTTCAGAAATGTTTTCCTTGTGGATTTCGAGGAATTTTTTTAAAATACGTGGATTGGTAATGCTGCACTCTGCTGGAATTGTTATTCGTATTGAAAAGTCTGGTGTGAATAATGTTTAATAATGGACTGTCTTTTGAATAAAATATTAAGAGTAAAAAACGTTGATGATAATCGGCTTCAGGGACAAAGTTTGCACATAAATGGAAGTTTGGGTTATCCACAAAAAGAACTGGGTCATACCAGAGACATATTTTATGCAAAAACACAAATGTTTTTGCCACACAAAACTTTTCATATCGTGGCCATTATTTTAATTAAAAAACTAACAACCTAAATAAATTTAAAAACTTAAATTTTCATTCAATATTTGCTGTTTGACCAAACGCGCAAGCCAATACGTAACATCAAATTATATTTTCGCAACTTCAATTGCATTTTTCCGCATT